CTTTGCATAGGTAAGATGCTGGAAACGCTACTGCATGAAAATCTATCCTTTCCATGGGAGATTTACACTTCTATCTATCTATCTATTATCTATGATGTAGTGTAGGCTTGCGTCCCCCCCCGCCCCCAAGCAGCTAGGAGAGGGAAAGTCCTAGCTAAGTCTACCAGAGTGGCCTTGAACTTGACTCTCAGGATAGTCTTCCCATTAAACCTCGTTTATTTAGTGGTCTATCATCATTACTCGCAATTGGGTCTGATTATTAGAAGAAGTTGAAGCTTGAGCAGAGGCGGACAATGATCACTAGCTTTCTGGAAATGGACCAAGTTTTACATATTAATGACCTAGACGTTTAAAAGCCTCCGAGGCATCAAATGAGACGAGACGAAAGAGAAGACGACTCGGAAGATTTATGCATTGTACCGTAAACGCAACCTTGATTCATGCTACGACGCCCCGCCGAACGCCAGCCTCCTTCCACCCCGTAGCCTGAACACCATCTCTGAAAGCCAATCGCAAATCCAAGTTTACCTAGCCTCCGAGTAATCGTTGAGCGCCACGCAAACCAGCCCCCGATGATGTCCGTTGTACTGTCTGATGATCTGCTCGCTGTGCAACTCCCACAGGCGCGCATAGTGATCCGAGCACGCCGTCACCAGATACGCAGAGTCCGCACTGAACGCGCAGTCCCACACCCAACGCTGGTGTCCCGTCAATGTGCTTTCCAACTTGAAGGGCTTGGGAGTCTTCGGGTCGGGCCCCTGTTGACCGGGCATAGGGATCATGGCCTCGAGGTTAGGAACTTCCCAGATCTTAGCGGTGTGGTCAGCGCTGCAGGTGGCGAGGTGCTTGACGTCTGGAGAGAGCAGGACCCGGGTGATGTAGTTGTTGTGGGCGGAGAAGTGGGTGATGGGGACGAGGGTTGTCTTCTCGCGAAATTGCTGGAGGTGCCAAACGTAGACATTGCCCTGCGCTTGTTAGCATCGTCTCCGGAGGATGGAGGTTGGCCATGCAGCGTGCTTACTGAGTTGGTACCAGCGCACAGGGTAGAGCCGTCGCTTGCGACCGTGACGCTGGCAACGGGCATATCTTCCTCGGGAATCAATTGGTGCGAGCAGTTGTTCTCTGCCAGGTCCCAGATACGCACGCTTCCACCTCGATCGCAACTGATGATCTCACCTTGGTTGGGATGGATGACCACATCGTTGACAGGGCATCCGTGGGAATAGCTTCGCTGGACCGAGCCGCTTCTCGTCTCCCAGATCTTGACAGTGCCATCCTCAGAGCTGGTCACCATCCACTTCCCCTCGCAGTGGAACGCGACGCCTGTAACATTGCCAGTATGACCGTCGAAAGTGAGGAGAGGGTTGGGGTTGGTGGACTTGATATCGTATAGTTTGATGGTGTGGTGGCCCGCAGCTGCGAGGAAGCGCTTGTCGGGAGAGATGCAGAGTCTGTTCACCTGGGAGTCGGTGTGTTGGATAGTGCGAGAGCAGATGCCGGATAAAGCCTCCCAGAACCTGCAAATGGTCATTCGAAGGGTCAGTTGGAATGCTCGTTAACGTTGAATCTCGACCAGATCGAAAGAAAGAAAGAAAGAAAGAAAGAAAGAAAGAAAGAAAGAAAGAAAGAAAGAAAGAAAGAAAGAAAGAGAGAAACATAAGAGAAGCCAGTGCGTACGTACCTAATTGTATGGTCGTACCCCGCTGTGACGAGACAAGGAAACCCGTCAGCCTCGGACCAAATGTCTTTCTTATCTGGCATCTTAGAGCCTTTTGTTGTTGACGCCGTCGATGTGGATCGGTCAAGACGAGAGAGAGACCGAAGATGCAATGAAATGCAACACGATACAGTAGAATATAATACATAATACAATACGTACCGGTACACAGGATCACGGACATGCTGGCCGATGCCTCGGACGGCAAGAGCAAGGCAAAGGGAAGCGCGAGCTCGCAAGGAAGGTGGGACTGAGGATGTGGACGTGGACGTGGAGATGGAGATGGAGATGCAGTTGGAGATGGAATTAGAGGTTGAATGAGAGTCGACCTCCGCCTAGCCTCAGCCTCGATCTCAGCCTCAGCCTTAGTCGGAACTGACGTCGAAAGTCTTCCATCGGAGCAGCCACAATGGGACCCTGCAGCCACGGTCGGTGATATGTCGGGCCGGGCGAGGAAAGCTATTACGTATTTGGTAACATTGGCACTTGCTTGTCTGGTGTTGACTTTAATTTCACTTCACCTTTCTTTGGCTTCAATCTTCAGCGATATTCCGAATAGCCATCTTCCTTATCCTAGCGCTGATCCTGTGGTTCTCGCTGAGCTGAAATGACTGTATTAGGACAATGAAAGCGAGGGCGAGGTGGGGGAGGGAAGCTCTCTCTCTCTCTCTCTCTCTCACCCCCCTTGCGCTACTCTCATGCGACGAAAAAAATATCCAGGACAAGTCGCAACTCGATCGCGAAACCGCATAGTATCCAATTTCCCATCTACCTTTACATTGTACTGAAGAAGTAAAAAAAAAAAGAAAGAAAAAAAAGGGATATATATATATATAAATATATCAACGTATAATGACTAGCGAGAAGCCAAATACAGCCCTCGCTACTTACTATACGATCAAGTACCTACCTACCCCCTCATTGAATGTAATTTCTTCATCCATTATTTTCTTGCTTGCGTGCCTGCGTGCCCCGTGGATATCGTTACCAAGATATTCCAAGCTGAGCTGAGCTGAGCTGAGCTGAGCCGAATCGGATAGATTCAAACAACAGATTTCGGAGTGCCATCACCCCCACTATCAATCACCCCCACTATGCTTTGATCAACCTTGCTTTGGAATTTCTCTATTGCTTTTCATCGATTTATTCTACAGTGTATACACAAACTTCTATGCCAACGCCATATCCACATCCAGATATCCATCTATGCCTTACTCATCCCAGCCAAGAGATTCAGCGCGCTTCCCGCCAGGATGAACCCGCACTGGTCTTTACTAAGCGTATGCTTCGTCCTCAACATGACCTCGTCCCCATTCCTCTTCGTGACTCTCAGTCTCACCTCACCCTCCCCACCATTCTGCAACACTTCGTACAAGCCGACCGTCTCAACTTCATCGCACGCCTCGATCCGCGCGTAGTCGTCGCCATTAGCGAATGTCAGCGGCACCACACCCTGCTTCTTCAGGTTCGTCTCGTGGATTCGAGCAAAGCTCTTGGCGAGAATAACGCGGCCGCCCAGGTAGCGGGGTTGGAGAGCGGCGTGTTCGCGGGCAGAGCCCTCGCCGTAGTTGTCTTCTGCTACTACCAGCCATTCGATATTTTGCTCCTTCCACTTCTGTGCCAGTTCAGGGATGCCAGATGTGCTGCCGTCGAAATCGTAGGCGACGTTCACCTCACCTGTCGCAGCGTTCGTGGCACCAATCAAAGTGTTGGCTGAGATATTGGGCAAGTGGCCTTTGTATTTCAGCCACGGACCGGCGGCGGAAATGGTATCTGTGGTGCACTTTCCTGTCACTTTGTAAAGAACTTTTAAACCTTTGAGTTCGGAGGAGGGGAAGGGGGCGAAGGGTTCAAGGAGGGCGAGACGGTCCGATGTGGGAGAAACGACGACTTCGGTTTGAGGCGAGGGAGCGCCTGAGGTAGGGAGGAAAGCCGGATTGCCGGCCTCGAACCCGTTTTCTGGGAGTTCGGAGCCAGTTGGAGGAGAAAAGCGGAAGGGGGTACCGGATGGTGTGGTTATGGTGTCTGTGAGAGGGTTGAAGGAGGTCGAGCCCGCATATGACATTGCAGTGACGATTTCGGGGGAGGCAAGAAAGTTCATAGTTTGGGGATTGCCGTCATTGCGGCCGCGGAAGTTACGGTTGTAAGAGGTGAAGATGGCGTTGCTGTCGCCTTTCTCCACGCCGTCGGTACGAGACCATTGGCCGATACTGGGATTAGATTAGCATTCACATCCCCAAAATTTTCAGAGTTTCCTGTGACTTTCGATCACCCGATTTTTCTCACTGAAAGATCCCTCGAGGAAAGTGACTTACCAAGGACCACAAGCATTGGCAAGGACAATACCACCAGCTTCCTCAAAGGTCGAAATGGTATTGTCCCGGTCAAGAGTAGCTCTAATCTGCTCGCTACCAGGCGTAATGAAGAAATCCGTCGCAGGCTTCAACCCAGCAGCGGTGGCTTGCTTGACCAAATCCTCCGCTCTCGTCATATCCTGATACGAGCTATTCGTGCAACTGCCTATGAGGCCAGCAGAAACAGTCTGCGGCCAGTTATTCGTCTTGACAGCCTGCGCAAAAACGGACAACGGCGTCGACAAATCTGGGGTGTTGGGCCCATTTACATGGGGTTCCAGCGTAGAAAGATTGATAGTAATCAAATCATCATACTCGCACCCCTCGTCCGCTCTCAGCAAGTTCAAGAAAGGTTTCGAGTTCGCAATAGACTGGGCCTGGGCAGCAATGGATGCTCGGTGCGTAGACTCCAGATACGGAATATGTCTATGCGAGAATGGGAACACGGACGTCGTAGCCCCAACCTCAGCCCCCATGTTACATATAGTCGCCATGCCTGTGCAGCTCAACGAGTCTACGCCCGGTCCATGGTACTCGATGATAAAGCCCGTTCCTCCTCTGACCGTCAACTTGCCCGCCAGAGCGAGAATGACATCCTTCGGCGACGCCCAACCGCTCAGCTGGCCTTCCAGCCTCACCCCCAGAATCTTCGGAGCCTTCAATTCCCACGGCGCATCGACGAGGGCGTCTACCGCGTCGGCACCACCCACGCCGATTGCGATTGCTCCCAGCCCACCAGCATTCGGCGTGTGGCTGTCGGTGCCGAGCATCATGAGGCCGGGCGCAGAGTAGTTCTCCAGCACGGTCTGATGAATAATACCCGCTCCGGGCGGCCAGAACTCAATGCCGTACTTCTTCGCCGCGGACTCGAGAAACTCAAAGACCTCCTTATTGCCCTTGATTGACTCGGGCAGATCCACGTCGGCGCCTCGCTCGCCTACAATCATGTGGTCGCAGTGTATGCTCGCCGGCACGGCCGTCGACGGCAGGTTGCAGGTCATGAACTGCAGCAGGGCCATCTGGGCTGATGCGTCCTGCATGGCGACGCGGTCGGGCTTAAGCTTGAGGTTTGCATTGCCGCGGATGTTGAGCCCGTTGTCGGTGTTGGAAAGGAGGGCCTCGGCGGGGTTGGCGAGATGCGAGTACAGGATCTTTTCGGCGAGCGTGAGTTGGCGGGAGGGATTGAGGCAGTGGCGGACGCTCTCGAGGCATTTAAGAAGTTTGGGGTAGGGAGGTGTGCGGGCGGCGATGTCTGGGATGTAGGAGGAGGAGGCGGTGTTGACGTTGACGGTTGCGAGGGTACGGCGAGCGAGGAGGGAGGATACCTGGGAGGTCTGTCCTGTTCAATTAGACTGCGTGTAATTTCCAGGAAGGGAATTGAAAGGGGATTCCCTACTCTGCTGCTCCTACTTCTGCTCAGAAGCCCAGCCCTCATGGTAGAGGCGGAGGTGGAAATGTGGATGTGGAGATGGGGCTTGAGATGGAGGGGGAGGAGGTTGCGAGGATGAAGAGGAAAAAACGAAAGAAAAGTGGAAGACGGAAAAACATGTAGCTCCGTAGCACCACCAACCCGGTTGCGATATCGGCTTGCAATTAGAGAGGTGTTGATTGGTGCACGCAATGGATGGACCAGGATTGTTTACTGTAGCTCAGTGCAGCTCTCCATAATTTCCCCAGATCTTGAGTAGAGCAATGTTTGCATTAACGGTAGGTATATCTTCTTGAAAAATGCAGACGGACAAGTGATGGCCAAAGCAACGAAACTCCACAGAAAACAAACAACAAACATGTGGCCTATACATCTATCCATGCATCCTTTGTAGCCAGGACTTGATCATCTGTTAACGACCAGGATATCTTGTTACTATCCAGAGAAAGTCAACAAGCAGAATCCCCCATGTCGGCATGTCGGCGAGTCGGCATTACTTACTTCCGTACTTAGCCTAACGGCCCGGCCCGGAGCTTCACATTGAAACTCCGAAGCTCTTTCTTTCTCAGTTGACTACAACTCGGTCATGATCAACCTCAACCTCCACCACCACCACCACAACAACCACATCCATCCTGATACAGACAGATCCATACCAACTGTATGCGTGCTTTCATGTATCACTCGATGGACAGCAGTGGACAGCAGTAGACAGCAGATGCAGCAGTCTGCTTCCCCTCTCTAGCTGCACGCGCGCCTTGTTCTGCCTTGTTCTGCTTTGCTTTGCTTTACTTTCCTTTGCTGTTCGCCTTCGGTTCACTTTCCTGTGGTCACATGTCCATCACCTTGGCATTGAATCGTTTCTGCTCTCTTGCTTCTTGTCTGCGTTTCGTATATCTCAATACCGGAGTTATTTATATGCCGTTTCCATTCCAGTTGTCTGCTTTGAAAGTGTCAGCGGGAATCTGTCACCTGTTTTGTTCTCCGACAATTTGCTTGCAGTGGGTGGGCTCGCCAGTTTGTCGAGGCGGAGCATCTTGTAGCTTTCTATCTTTGTTCTTCTCCACAACAGTGAGAGACGCCGGGAGTAATTGTCCTCGAAGATAGATGTCCTCGAGTCCCTCGTCGAGTGTTCGGGTCGTAGTCCGATCGCTGCAATTTGGTTCGAGGGATTGTCTGCTAGCTGCCTTCTCGGCCTACCTCCGTATCGACCCGGGGTCTCTTATCTGGCTGGTGATCTCCAACCTGTTGTCTGATAGATATATTTTTAGTCGCCTAGCCGGGATCGAAGACTTCTCTCAGGCCATATAACTGAGACGGCTTCGCAGAATGTACCGGCTATGATTCGAAAGGCCAGGATTGACCGATAGCCTGGGAGACTGCAAAACTGGTCAGGGGATGGTCTTGGAGATGGTCGAGCTTCGGGTTCATGGCTTGCTCTTATCAATCATGTCCTGAAGAGTCTCGCAGCCCCTGTGGTGAACTGAGCCTTGAACCGAATGATGCCTCCAATGTGGGACTCCTTATGCTGTTGTATAGACAAGACCGGCCGGCTGAGTCTCTTCCCAAATGCTGGCTGGATCGAACCCGGCTTCCCAGTCTCGTGGTCCGAACCTCCTGCTGCACGGCAGGGAGTGACCTCGCAGACTTACTCGCTCCTACGTCGACACGCGGAGTTTTTCATTTCACCCAGTGGAAGAATTGTCTTTGGTTCGGGCAGCTCATCAGATCAGGCTTTGGTACATCTCATATGGATCAGGCTGTAGGAATTGCCGCGCAAGCCGTGCCCACGAATTTCGATATCCCAAACTCTCTCAAGTCCGTCGGTTGGCAGACCTGGGTATCGGGACGCCAAGATGAGATGCGAAGATGCTGGCCCAGTTTGGTTTCTGTCAGCTTGGTCGGATATCAGGACTGGCTCCGAAGAGACTCGAAAGCGGCGCAAGAGGCTAGACACAGCCTGCAAACAATGGGTTCGTTGGGATTCGGCCGCTGCAGAGCCTCGAAGCAGATGTCAAGCAGACGTCGCAAGCTCCCTCTCTGATCTTGTAATTCTGTGCCTGTCGTGCGATTACGAGATGGAGAGGTCGTCGGATGTGTATTAGCTGGTCTCGTGCGTGTATTGCCGCCAGTTAGCAATCTGATCTGGGCCGTGGTGAGATGATCGTTGGGATCTGCGAATACGTGCCTCTCTTGAACTCTGCAAAGCTGTATGAATGGGATCGGTTCGCTCACAGATACTTTGGCCCTCTCTTCCCCGTCTCGTCTGCGGGGTGGCACTGGTTGGTGTTTGGTTTCCAGACTCGAGCCATTCTACTCGAGCCATTTTGGATGATGATGATGATGATGATGATGATGATGATCGGTAGGGGAATGTAGTTCATAGTTCACTTCTCACCTGGGGTGGGTGCTCTCTCTGTCTCTTTGGCTGTATCGGGTGTTCCTGTAGAAGATTCTGAGCGGTTATATCTCTTTCATATCCCGGATGTTGGTTCTCGAGTCGCGAAGAACAGAAGAGAAGAAAGGGTCCGATGACCCGGGCTATGGTAACTCCTCTGTCCCCAATCGGTAGGTGCTCAGGGTGCCCGCCATCCAGACCCAGCAGGGAAGGAAGGAAACGACCAACCAGCCCACCCAGCTCGGCCGCTCCTCTCGTCGTCTCTCCTCCTCTACAACCCCACCACCCCAGCCACTTCCCCTTCCATCGACAACCACATCTCCAACTTCATCTCCAACTTCATCTCCATCTCCATCTCCAACTTCAACCCCCCACACACAAATCCAACACCAACACCAACACCAACAATCTCTCTCCTCTATTCCTCTCCCGCCCCCTCGACGAGGAGGGTTCAGTTACGGCAACGTGACTTCGGGTGCCTGTCTCTGGCTCCTGCAGAAGATCCCCCTCTCTCCCAATCACGACCTGGTATGTATCGCGTCGCTCCCTCCGTCATTGCCATCTGCACCTGCACCTGCCTATGCCCCTCCCCTCTCCATCGACGCGCTTATTTTCACTACCGCTCGTCAATCTTCGTCAATCTCTCCCTTCGTCAATCTCTCCCTTCGTCGATCTCCCCCCTTCTCCTCCATCCATCCATCCATCCATCCCATCCCATCCCTTGATCGAGCGAACTTGGGATATCTCCGAGCGAACTTGGGATATCTCCTTCATATACTTACTGGTCTCTCAGCTCGGCCAAACTCCGCTCCTACTGATCAACCCAAACCTACACAGAACCGCGGCAAAGCGGCGCTCCCATACCAAACATGGCGAGTGACAGCAACGGAGCTCCGCCTGATGGCGCGAACAACTATCAAGAGCCACCCCAACCACAGCACACCCCAGAACAGCTGGCGATGATCCATGCGGCTATGATGGAGGAGTTGGGTATTACTAGAAAAGATGAACTTCACCTCCAAGACAGAGGACCCGATATCTCCGAGTTGCGCCCTCTGAAACCGAAGAAATACCAGGAAACCGCGACCGCTCGTTGGCGTAGTAAGTTCTCACTCGGCTTTGCTCACTTCGCGCTTTGACCTTCATTAACAAGACGCAGATCTTCAGTTTGACGATGTTGATCCTGCCGAGGAGGGCCTCGACTCCATCGCTGATGGTCAACTGTATCGATTGAGAAGAGGCATCCCTTCCGGTACTTCAGGTCGAGGTCGAGGCAATGTCGCATCCCGAGGCGGTCACTCATCCAATCGTGGTCGTGGATTTGGACCAGGCGTCAATGGCCGAGGTGGTAGGGGTGACTACTTGGGACCTATGGGATCTCATCAACGATCCGAGTAAGTTTTTGCACGACAATGCTTGCAGCTGACGCTAATTTTCCGGACTCACAGCTTCCAAACCAACTTCCAAACAATGCGTGGAGCTCGCAATGCGGTCAATACCCAGGGCATGATGGAGACTGCTATTGCTCGCCTACGTAACCCCCCGCTGGCTCCACGTTCCCATCGTGGCGGTGCTGTGGACTTGCAAGCTAGGCCCCAGGTCATGCCGTCAAAGTCCCTCAATCCCTTGCCCAATCGATCAAGATATGCGATTGACAACAGCAGCAACGATGCCTTCTTCGCCCATGTTGGAATCAGCAATCAGCGCCAGGCACCCGCCCTGGCTGTTCAACAGTTACCTGTTCGTGAGGCCGCTCCTAGCCCTCGCCCTGTTGCGGAGGTGCAGCCATCACAGCAGTCTACCATAGCTGAGCCCAATCCCGTGGTTATCAGTGGAGAGCCACCTGCCCCAGTCAAGTCTGGGCTCTCAGCCTCTCGGTGGGCTGGTCCAGCCAGTCCAGCCGAGCCTGCATTCACAAACAGTGTCACTCCTGCTAAATGGGCCCACCTTGGTATTTCTCAGCCAATTATCGTCAGTCCTCCCAAGTCTAACTATAGTGTGGCTCCAGGTACCTTGCACCAAGGCTCTTCAGCTCCAGCTACACCGAATGTCGCCGTTGCTCCTGAGAGCCCAATCGAGGACGTCAAGCAAGTCTCAGCTCAGACTCTTTCACGCAGCGGCAGAAATCTTCTCATGACACAAGTTGTTAACTACAAGTGCAACGACGGAGCAACCAGCCTCGCCACAGTCCGTCTCATCAAGGGCCAAGATGACATCTACTTGAAAATCGAGCTCATCGAGGCCGGCACTGATGCGGCTCTCCTTGCCGAGCCGGTAGACGATAATGCATTGGTTGAGACTGAGAACACTCTGGTCAGATACCGTGCAGCACCGACCAATTCAGCGGAGACTCCTTTGTGGAAGCTGAACTTTTCGATGCCATACTTGGCGGCTAAGTTTGGGAACTTGATCATGATGAATCGCCTAAGCCGTCCGGCTTCGGATACATCTGCTCTTCTTCATTCCGCCGCTGTTTGCGCCAGCTCCAATGTGGATCATTTTCCTCCAGCAGGCTCATCCGTTAGTTTTCAGACTACCGCACACAGCGTTCAGGAGGTCATGCGTCAGAACCAAGTTGCTGAGAATGTCCGATTTCAAGCAACTCAGCAACCAGAACCGGTTTTCATTGCTGAATATCAGCAAGCATATGCCGGTAAACCCGGCTACGGCCCAGGACTCGAGGAGATGCAGTTGATATCCTTCGCGCCCGCTGGTGAGGACACTGAGCAGTTGATCTCCTTCACCGACGAGGCTCCGCAGCCGCCACCGCAGCAGCCAGTTACTAACCCGGACATTCTTATTCTTCTGGAGTTTGAAAACGAAAATATCATGGAGACTCTCTTTGAACGATCCAACGAGGGTACCCCTGGCTCTGCATTGACACGACTTTCTGATATCGTGGTCGATGCCGGCGGTCCTCGGGCCAACACCCTTACGTCAGAAGAGATCTTAAGTTCCAAGGACTACTACTTGGCTGCCAAGTTTGTTACCACTAATGTTCTCGTCGATTCTGAGACATTTTCTGGCCTGAACTATGAACTTGGAGATGCCTATCTGCATGACAAGAGTGCGAAGCTACTCAATATGATAGTTGCGCGTTGCTACCCCTGCGATCTCTTCGGATTTACCCTGGGTCCAGAAGTTGCTCCCGCTGAGGACACCACCCCAGCTTTCGCTGATTTCCTGCACAATGAGGCGGTCAAGATTGAATCATCTGAAACCGCTGCCTTTGGCGTCACGGATGATATTCACCATGATTCGATCAAGGCTGCATCGGCTGAGCCAGTGGCTGTTGCTGTCACTTACGCTCCTTACAGCGAAGAGCCAGTTACGACTCCCGACCTTGGATCGGCCGAGAATACAGATGTTCTGATCAAATACTCGCCACATAGTCTGATCAAGCTACGTGGCAATGCAACCCCTGTCAAGATCGTTAATGAGCCTCCTCGACAACCACTGACCGCGACCCGCAGAGCTCCTCCTCCTAAGATGGCAACTATTGGATTGAAACCATTAGCGGATGTGGACGCATCGACCGAGGCTATAGGCAATTTCGTCCATGGTACAGGCTCAGCAGCCCCGACTGATATGTCCACCAAGGCCTCTCCTGCCCCATGTCAACAGGCTACACCCCCTACATCTGGTGTGCAAGACTTGACGGAGGAGCCTGACGTCTCGGTCCAGGAGCCTGCTGCACAAGCTGCCACGCCTCTTCTGGGCCCCAAGAGCTCTCAGATCCATGTTGGCCCCTCCTCAGGACAAAAGACGGACATGAATCTCTGGGGTGCGTATCTCAACCAAGGTCGGTCTACAGCTGCGACAGTGCCAGAGACGAAGCCGGAAACTGTACACAAACCTATATCCAATACTTCAGAGTCAACGGTGACAAGCCCAGTGCTGAGCTTGCCAACTCTGACCAAGTTGAGCGGCGCTAGCCAGACTATGAGCGAGCGCATTAATTCTGCTTTGAAGCGTTCAATGATGTCCACGCAGTCACCCACGCAGTTCCTTAAGCATGCAGCTCCTCGCGCCAATGCGGTTAAGGTTGTCCCGAGCTTCGACCTCACAGATACAAGACTTTCTATTGCTGCACCCACGGGTGATATTCCAGGTACAACTATTGCGTCAGAGATTCCAAGAGTTGATCTCGCTATAGTCCCCAAGACTGAGCCAAACGAGACCATTGGATCTATGTCAACTTTAAAGGCTGATATTTCAGAATTTATTTCCGTTATCACCCCCAAGATTGAGCCAACCGAGACCATTGGGCCTATCTTAATTTCCACGGCTGATCTTCCAGATAAGATTCTGGCACCAGAGATGCCGCAGAATGCACCCGCCATTGAGAACAAGGCCGAGCCTATTCCTCGTCCCGTGGTGATCAAGAAGGATCCTGTCGAGGAGATCTCCAACTTTGCGCTGAGCGGTGCTTCGGGCTTATCCGCTTCAAGATGGGCACCTAGTCCTACAACTCCTGTGTTTCCACGTCATCCTCTTCGTCATTCACAAATGGGCTCTGCTGTCTCTTACAATTCTCCTCGGCCGCAATATCAGCAGGAAGATCATGCCCCCGCATATCCGGTAGGCCCCGCTCTGACCACAGTGCTTGTTCCAGACGCCAGTGGCAACTTTATCCACGTGACTGGATATCCAGTTGCAAGCGCTCAAGTCGCAACACCAATTTCCCCTTCTTTTGTGGATCATCACCCGAGAGTTGCTGCGATGACACCAGCTGCCCGCAACTTTCCAGCTCCAGACATCACGTACAGCCCTCACTTCTCGGGCGAGTCATCGGCTATCGACAAGAACTCCAACTCGGCCAGTCCAGCCCCTTCAGCAGCTGAGAGCAACCAGCGTGCACCTTTGTCTACACGTAAGGGAAACGGCCTTCAAGCTCGCCTCCAAAGCCGTCTAGACAACAGCATGGCTGCCCCCCGAGGTGCCTACCATGGTGCTCCTCCGTACTAAGCGCTTTTCTGGCGTGGGATAGACCGAGGGGAGGGAGCTTTTGTTGGTGAATGAATAGTTTGGACATGGGTCTGATACTTTGTGATTATGAAACGGTGATGAGATGCAGCAAGTTCAGCGAGGGAAATCAAAACCAACGTGCGGATATCTGATTAGTACTAGGCGGTTGCTACTGCGATTAGTTTAAGGGTCGGATCGTCGCTAAATGGCACTGATGATAAAGCGAAGCAAGCAAGCAATATAGAAGTTGGAGAGAGTCTGAACTTAGACTAGTTAATTACAACTTTTAGCAAAATCCTGGGGCTATGGATATTGAAGTTATCGCTGCGATAATATTATTACACGTGTGAATTCCGAGCCATTTTCTTCTTCATTGTCCTTTCAGAAGTATGGTTGCTGTTGGTAACTTTGTGGATGTACTAGGTATACCTACCTTACTTTACAATAATTAACCGAGGCCGAGACCCTAAAGCCCGCTCGCTACTCAAGGATAAAAGAAAGTCCGATTCCATCGCATCTAAGGGATGAAAGTACGGACAACATCAACACCACCACGACACGACACCCTAAGTTCCAGTTCGCTCTCGACGCAGGCATATTGATAACCCAAGATGCCTGCAGTGACATCCACGATTACCACAGCCAGGCTGAAGAACGAGGCGAAGATTGCTCGGCTGCGGACCGATGGGGAAGGGGAAGCTAGGGAAGGAGAGGTGAAGAGCAAGGTGGTCGAGGGAAAGGCACAGGTGCAGGTGGGCATCGAGAAGCAGGAGACGCTGGAAACCAAGGAGCACGATTTCTTCTGGACATATACGGAGGAGCCGCACCGGACGAGGCGGATGGCTATCATCAAGGCGCATCCCGAGGTCTGTTTTCTCCAACTCCTTCGGACCTTCCCTCCTACCTACCGATCCACCTACGTTCTTCCAATTCGTGCATGATCTAAATAACATGGATGGGCTGGCGATTAACTCTTCTTTGGCACCAACAGGTCACCAAACTTTGCGGGCCCGAGCCCCTGACCAAGTACACTGTCCTCCTCGTCGTCGCCGTCCAGGTCCTGGCGGCGTACTGGCTCCGCGACGCGGCCTTCTTCAGCTGGAGGTTCTTCCTGACAGCGTATTTGGTGGGTGCGACGGCGAACCAGAACCTGTTCCTGGCTATCCATGAGATTAGCCATAACCTTGCCTTCAGGAGTCCGAGATTGAACAGGGCGTTGGCAGTGTTTGCGAATCTGCCGATTGGGGTGCCCTACAGCGCTAGTTTTAGGGTGAGTCGATTTCTATACCTCTGGAGAGACAGGCGAGAGAGGAGGGGACAAACAGGGGGGACTGGTAGATGGGGAGAATGGATGTTGAGAGAGATGCTGGGAGAAAGTCCTTGTTTTGAAAACATCTTGCTAACCGAGAGAAAAAGCCCTACCACCTCACCCATCACAAATCCCTCGGCGTCGACGGCCTCGATACCGATCTCCCTACGGCTTTGGAAGCCGTCTTTCTCGACTCCATCCTCGGAAAAGCCTTCTTCTGTACCTTCCAGATCCTCTTTTACGCCATCCGTCCCGTCTTCGTCTACGCCGTTCCCTTCACCACCATCCACATCCTCAACATCGCCGCTCAGCTCGCTTTCGACTACGTCCTCGTCAAGACCTGCTCTGCGCACTCGCTGTACTACCTGATCTTCTCCTCCTTCCTGGCTGGCTCGCTCCACCCCTGCGCGGGCCACTTTATCGCCGAACACTATGTTTTCGAGCGGCAACCTACTGCCGCCAAAGACCCGCTTACAAACACGCCTGTCCCAGAGACATTCTCATACTATGGAGCATTAAACATGCTGACGTATAATGTGGGCCTACACAATGAGCACCACGATTTCCCAGCCGTGCCGTGGACGCGGCTCCCGGTGCTCCACGAGATAGCGAAGGAGTTTTACGCGGACCTGCCACGGCACGAGAGCTGGGTGGGCGTCATTTGGCAGTTCGTCTGGGATCGGGAGGTCGGCATGACTTGTAGGGTTAAGAGGAAGGACGGTGGCCGGAAGGTGGGCGGGTGGACGCAGCAGGAGATGGAGAGTTGAGTGGGGGGCTGTCTTGGATGGGAAATACGATGAGACGAACACGTACGATTTGATTGATTGCATGGACAGGCGTTCCGGTCGGGTCTTATCGCATTGCGATATATCAAATGGATGGGTGGAAATAAAAAAGTCAAAAGGGAAAAATGGTCGGTTCTGCCCTCGTGTTTTTAGACAGACAGATTGATTCTTCCTACAGTGGGCATATAATATGCATGGACTCTGTATTCGTTTCCGTCTACGCGCTGTATTGTAAATGTGCTAATACCCTACTCTCTTCTCCTCATCCCATTTTCATTCCATTTCACTCCCGTTCCCTTTCAGAAGTCAGTCCACTGTTATTGTCATCAGTGCTACTGCCACTGCTAGTACTAACTTAAGAGGGGCGAGCCAGCCAGTAAGTACAATAAGCGATCATTGAATGAGTTAAAAAAAAAAGAAAAAAAAGAAAAAAAAAAGGCACGCAAGGTAGTCAGTCGTCGGTTGCCCAATTTTTTCGTACCATCAACTCGGTCAATACAGCATCACCGACTACGTCTTCTTAAGTTGCAACATTTGTCTCTTTCTCTCTT